GTGGACTGTAGTACTGTTGGTTTTATGGTAATTCATTCACCGTTTTTTACATTAACCATAATACACCTTGCGTATCCCCCCAAAATTTTACGTAAACATTAATTCAGTTTCTCTTGAGACGGCACGATACCCAGGAGAAACTGAAAACAATGGCTATGCAAAATGTTGGGGGAGGTAAACAAGGCGTATTCAGGTGGATGTGAGAATGTTGAATTCAATGGCGTTGCTCGCATAACCAGACAGTTGAGAGGCAAGAAACGGCAAACTTTGTGTATCACGTGACCAATTTTCCCCTTCACTTTAGTATTTTTTTCTACCTATTGTATCTACAAAAAAAATAAGTAATTTCATGCAGTTTTATCCACGAGAATTATTTTCGACGCTTTTCATTGATCACGTAGAATTTGAGAAACTGAAAACCTGATTCTATTATATTTGAAAACCGAAAAACACGACATAACCAGGTATAGATACAACAGAACGAGAGTAAACTACCGTATTTATTCGATTAAACGCCGCCCTCAAATAAACGCGGCCCTCGATCAAACGCCGCAGATGGAAGCAAAATTACCAATAAACGCCACACCTAATCAAAGGAATGCGGCGTTTACTCGAGGATAATAAGAAAAACCTCGGTACAACTTGGTAATTTACATCATCCAAACATTTACCGTTCTATCCCAGCAAAATAATGGAGACATTGGAACCTTTAAATTACATAATATTTACAAACGATTTACAATAACTGTTGTCAGTGATTTTAAAAAAAGTGATTTCGAAATAAACGCCGCATTGGAAACGCTAAGAATTTAATAAACGCCGCGGCTTTTAATCGAATAAATACGGTATTTAAAGTACTTTGAGGTGAAAGCGACCACCACCACTGTAATTCAATACGTGGAGAATATAGTATGCCAAAGTCTTTCAAAATAGTGCCCTTCCTCTGGATTTACATGATCGTCAACGAAGGAGATGGCTCATTTCTCGAGTTGCAGCGATACATGCTTTGAGGCAATAGACATAGTTCTCTGGGTGTGGAGAGTAAAACAGCTCTTGAAAAAATTCTCCAAATGTGAAATTAGAAGGACGCATTTGTCCGCTGATTTTCTCCACAAGCCATTTGCCCCGGTGCCTTATTAACCCCCAGTTGTCATCCATTCCACGCAGCTTACAAGGAATATTATTTCTCGCTTTATTAAGAATTTCATTTAAAGTTTCAAAGCAATACTCAGAGGGCCCTTCGCCCTGTATGAAAACGGTGATGTCAGGCAACTTTTCATAGTGTTTTATAATGTGGTAGAGGTAAGTGTGACTCTCTCTTCCAACATTTGGTAATTTTT